TGTTTCTGTTTGTTTTCGCTTGTCCGTCGGCTGCACTGGCCGCCTCAGGCTCGCCCGCCGCTCCGCGGTCGCTCGGCCCCTCGGCTGGCCAAATGCATCGGTTTTGTTTGTTTTTGTTTGTTTTCGCTTGTCCGTCGGCTGCACTGGCCGCCCCAGGCCCGCCCGCAGCCGTTCGGTCGCTCGGCCCCTCGGCTGGCCAAATGCACTGGTTTTGTTTGATTTTGTTTGTTTTCGCTTGTCCGTCGGCTACACTGGTCGCCCTGCGCACGCCCGCCGCCTTTCGGTCGCTCGGCCCCTGTTTTCGCTTGTCCGTCGGCTGCGCTGGCCACCTCAAGCTCGCCCGCCGCCCCGCGGTCGCTCGGCCCCTCGGCTGGCCAAATGCATTGGTTTTGTTTGTTTTTGTTTGTTTTCGCTTGTCCGTCGGCTGCACTGGTCGCCTCAGGCCCGCCCGCCGCCGTTCGGTCGCTCGGCCCCCCGGCTGGCCCAATGCATTGGTTTTGTTTGCTTTTGTTTGTTTTCGCTTGTCCGTCGGCTGCACTGGTCGCCCTGCGCGCGCCCGCCGCATTTCGGTCGCTCTGCCCCTCGGCTGGCCCCATTCCCTGGCTTTCTCTGTTTCTGTGTGTTTTCGCTTGTCCGTCGGCTGCGCTGGTCGCCCCAAGCTCGCCCGCCGCCCCGCGGTCGCTCGGCCCCCCGGCTGGCCAACTGCACTGGTTTTGTTTGTTTTTGTTTGTTTTCGCTTGTCCGTTGGCTGCACTGGTCGCCCCAGGTCCGCCCGCCGCCTTTCGGTCGCTTGGCCCCTCGGCTGGTTGAATTCACTGGTTTTGTGTGTGTTTTGTTTGTTTTCGCTTGTCCGTCGGCTGCGCTGGTCGCCCTGCGCACGCCCGCCGCCTTTCGGTCGCTCGGCCCCCCGGCTGGCCCCATTCCCTGGCTTTCTTTGTTTCTGTTTGTTTTCGCTTGTCCGTCGGCTGCACTGGTCGCCTCAGGCTCGCCCGCCGCCCCGCGGTCGCTCGGCCCCTCGGCTGGCCCAATTCATCGGTTTTGTTTGTTTTTGTTTGTTTTCGCTTGCCCGTCGGCTGCGCTGGTCGCTCCAGGCCCGCCCGCCGCCGTTCGGTCGCTCGGCCCCTCGGCTGGCCAAATTCACTGGTTTTGTTTTTCTTGTCCGTCGGCTGCACTGGTCGCCCTGCGCACGCCCGCCGCCTTTCGATCGCTCGGCCCCACGGATGGCCCCATTCCCTGTCTTTCTTTGTTTCTGTTTGTTTTCGCTTGTCCGTCGGCTGCACTGGTCGCCTCAGGCTCGCCCGCCGCCTTTCGGTCGCTCGGCCCCTCGGCTGGCCAAATGCATTGGTTTTGTTTGTTTTTGTTTGTTTTCGGTTGTCCATCGGCTGCACTGGTCGCCCCGGGCCCGCCCGCCGCCGTTCGGTCGCTCGGCCCCTCGGCTGGCCCAATTCATTGGTTTTGTTTGTTTTTGTTTGTTTTCGCTTGTCCGTCGGCTGCACTGGTCGCCCCAGGCCCGCCCGCCGCCGTTCGGTCGCTCGGCCCCTCGGCTGGCCAAATGCATCGGTTTTGTTTGTTTTTGTTTGTTTTCGCTTGTCCGTCGGCTGCACTGGTCGCCCTGCGCGCGCCCGCCGCCTTTCGGTCGCTCGGAGCCCTCGGCTGGCCCCATTCCCTACAAGCGAAACAAACAGAAACAAAGAAAGCCAGGGAATGGGGCCAGCCGGCGACCGAAAGGCGGCGGGCGAGCCTGGGGCGACCAGTGCAGCCGACGGACAAGCGAAAACAAACAAAAACAAACAAACCCAATGAATTTGGCGATCCGAGGGGCCGAGCGACCGGAAAGCGGCGGGAGAGGCTGGGGCGACCAGTGCAGCCGACGGACAAGCGAAAACAAACAAAACAAAGAAAACAATTGAATTCGGCCAGCCGAGGGGCAGAGCAACCGAAACGCGGCGGGCGAGCCTGGGGCCACAAGTACAACCGACGGACAAACGAAAACAAACCAAAACAAACAACACCACGGAAATGAGCCAGCCGAGGGGCCGAGCGACCGAAAAGCCGCGGGCGAGCCTGGAGCGACCAGCGCAGCCGACGGACAAACGAAAACAAACAAAAACAAACAAAACTAAGCATTTGGCCAGCCGAGGGGCAGGGCAGCGCGACCGAAAGGCGGCGGGCGAGCCTGAGGCGACCAGTGCAGCCGACGGACAAGCGAAAACAAACAGAAACCAAACGAAACCAAGGACTGGGGCCAGCCGGGGTGCCGAGCGACCGAAAGGCGGCGGGCGTGCGCAGGGCGACCAGTGCAGCCGACGGACAAGCGAAAACCAACAAAAACAAAGAAAACCAGCGAATCTGGCCAGCCGAGGGGCCGAGCGACCGCGGGGCGGCGGGCGAGCCTGGGGCGACCATTGCAGCCGACGGACAGGCGAAAACAAACAAAAACAAACAAACCCAACGAATTGCGCCAGCCGAGGGGCCGAACGACCGCGGGGCGGCGGGCGAGCCTGGGGCGACCAGTGCAGCTGACGGACAAGCGAAAACAAACAAAAACAAACCAAACCAAATAATGGGGCCAGCCGAGAGGCCGAGCGACCGCGGGGCGGCGGGCGAGCCTGGAGCGACCAGCGCAGCCGACGGACAAGCGAAAACAAACAACAACAAACAAAACCATGAATGGGGCCCGCCGAGGGGCCGAGCGACCGCGGGGCGGCGGGCGAGCCTGGGGCGACCAGTGCAGCCGACGGACAAGCGAAAACAAACGAAACGAACAAACACACAGAAATCGACCAGCCGAGAGGCCGAGCGACCGCAGGGCGGCGGGCGAGCCTGAGGCGACCAGTGCAGCCGACGGACAAACGAAAACAATCAACCACAAACAAAACAAAGGAATGAGGCCAGCCGAAAGGCAGAGCGACCGCTGTGCGGCGGGCGAGCCCGGGGCGACCATTGCAGCCGACGGGCAAGCGAAAACAAGCAAAAAACAAACAAAACCAAGGAATGGGGCCAGCCGAGGGGGCGAGCGACCGAAAGGCGGCGGGCGAGCCTGGGGCGACCAGTGCAGCCGACGGACAAGCGAACACAAACAGAAACAAACAAAACCAAGGAATGGGGCCAGCCGAAGGGCCGAGCGACCGCGGGGCGGCGGGCGAGCCTGAGGCGACCAGTGCAGCCGACGGACAAGCGAAAACAAGCAAAAGCAAACAAAACAAAAAAATGAGCCAGCCGAGGGGCCGAGCGACCGAGACGCGGCGGGCGAACCTGTGGCAACCAGTACAGCCGAAGGACAAGCGAAAACAAACAAAAACAAACAAAACCAGTGCATGGGGCCAGCCGAGGGGCCGAGCGACCGCGGGGCGGCGGGCGAGCCTGGGGCGACCAGTGCAGCCGACGGAGAAGCGAAAAAAAACAAAAACAAACAAAATCAAGGAATGGGGCCAGCCGAGGGGCCGAGTGACCGCGGGGCGGCGGGCGAGCCTGAGGCGACCAGTGCAGCCGACGGACAAGCGAAAACAAACAGAAACAAACAAAACCAAGGAATGGGGCAAACTGAGGGGGCGAGCGACCGCGGGGAGGTGGGCGAGCCCGGGGCGACCAGTGCAGCCGACGGACAAGCGAAAAAAAACAAAACAAAAAAAAACAAAACCATTGCATGGGGCAAGCCGAGGGGCCGAGCGACCGCGGGGAGGTGGGCGAGCCTGGGGCGACCAGTGCAGCCGACGGGCAAGCGAAAACAAACAAAAACAAACAAAACCAAATAGTGGGGCCAGGCCGAGCGACCGCGGGGCGGCGGGCGACACTGGGGCGACCAGTGCAGCCGACGGACAAGCGAAAACAAACAAAACAATCAAAACCAAGGAATGGGGCCAGCCGAGGGGCCGAGCGACCAGCGTCGCCCAGGGAAGTGACAACCAAACCCTAGAAGTAGATTAGGTTTGCGCCCGCCCCCAAAAAAAACAAAAAATATAGATTCTTGAAATAGGAAGGCGCTTAAAGTAGATTGGGATCTGGGAATCCAAAAATACCTACTTTCAACGACCGGTGGGTAAGCTCTAAGGCGGGGGAGGAGGGGCAGGGAGAGCGAGAGGGAGGAGTGACCGGAGTCCCCCGTGCACATCGACCCTCTCCCTCCCGCTCGCCGCGGAGGTCGCCCCAGATGGCGTCCGCGGCAGAACGTGAGAGGTGGAAACTTAGCCAGATTCACCGCCCGGGAACCGACGTCCTGGTGCCCCAGCGGGCGGTGGATATGGGTATGGATATCCGCCACCGTGCCTCTGGACACGGAGTGCGCGTACGGCAGGCTTGCGTCGTGTCGACCCCAGGTTTGGTTCCTGACGACGCGGGGATCGTTCAAACTTGAACGCTCGGCTCTTTCACACCGGTCGACACGACGCGAACCTGCCGCATCCTCAAGTCCTTAGCCTAATCCCTGGGGCCGCAGTCCTGTCCTGAGAAATGGGGCCCAGACCCAACTTCCGAAATCTGCAGGGGCTTTCTGCGTGCCCCCTGGGCTCCGGGAAGTGTTGTCACGTGACGTGTTCGGGCCCCAGAGGGCAAGAGGCAAACATCGATGGCTTGCCGGAGGTTTTTGAAGGATTTTGGCGTTCTCGCCTGTTCGGTGTTCCGACGCTCCAAGACTGCCCAGGAGCCCCCAGGACCACCCCAAAACGGCTACAGAGGCCGTCAAGAGGGCCCCAAGCCAGCCTAAGAGCGCCCCAAGACTACCCAAGCAGCGCCCAGGACGGCCCAAGAGAGCCCCAGGGCGGCCCCAAGAGGGGCCCAGGAGAGGGAACGCGAACCGAAAATCCGAGCCCGCCGCCCCGAGAGACCCCCAGGAGGCCCCAGGGGGCGCCCAGGAGGCCCCCCCAAGAGGCCCCCAAGAGGCCCCCAGGAGAGGCCCAAAAGAGGCCCCCAAGGAGGCACCAAAACGGCCCCCTGGGAGGCCTCCCGACTGCCTCCACGAGGAGGGCGCGGCGCGGCGGCCGGGGGCGGCGCCCCCCCCGCGCCCCGCCACCGCCTGCAGCTCCAGCGTCTCCGCGGCGAAGGGCGCACCCTCGCGTCGCAGGCCCGCGGCGCGGGGCGCTGCCCGCCCGCCTCGGCCGCCTCCGCCTCCGCCATGCCCACCGCCTCGTCCCCCACAGGCGCCCGAGCAGATGGGGTCGGAGAATCGCGCCGCGTCGACGACGCATCGCCGATGAATCGGCGACGCATTGGCGACATCGGCGACGCGTCCGCGACGTCGGCGCGGAAAGAATCGGGCCACGCACCGAGCCGCATCGGCGATGCGGCGCGAGCCTCCGATCGCATCTGTTGTAATTATCGTCAGACCTACGGCAGGCTCGTGTTGTGCCGACTTCGGCGTCAGCTTCTGACACCGCAGGGATCGTTAAACCTTGAACGATCGGCCGTTCCCGAAACGACAGATTTTTCGACATCGACCGATTCTGAGACGCCCGCGGCGTTCAACGTTGAACGCCCGCGGCGGAATCGCCGCCGGTCGACACGACTCTAATCTACCGTACCCCATCCCCAAGCGAAGGGATCCTCATCACCACCGGCCGACACCCTCGGAGAAGGTATGGACGCCAACAGAAACCTGACGGAAGGGGCATCCGTCTCTACCTTGGGAGCAGGTCGGACAGGATGGGTCAAGGATTTCCCAGTGGGGATGGGGATTGGCCACATAATGCTGATCCACCTCCCCCTCGGCACCTCTGCTGTGGACCTCTGGAGGCCTCCGAAGATCCTCAGAAAGCCCCCGAGAGCTAACAGAGCCCCCGGAGACCGCCTCTGCCTCCTCCTCCTCCTCCTCCTCCTCCTCCTCCTCCTCCTCCTGCTCCTCCCAAGCAACTTGGGCTCGAGCACCATTTTGGCAGCTCGCCGAGTCCAACTCTCACCGCCGCCAAGTGGCGCTTGGGGGGCAATCAGTCAGCTGCGCCAGAACGCTGCGGTTCGCTGCCCAGGCTTGCGCAGGAGATCTGATTGGCGAAGAGTGAGAGATGGGAAAAGGTGAATACCAGGCCACGGAACAATCTCAGCCAGCACGTCTTTGGTCCAACTGCCACGCCTGCAACCGGCACGAGTGGAACCACGCATTGGCAGCCAATTCGAACAAATGCTCGCGGTGCTTTCGGCCAGTCAAGGTCTACAAGCCGAAGGTCGCGGCCAACGACGGGGGCCAGGGCGGCAAGGGCGGCAGTGGGCGCAGCGGCGGAGCTGCAGGAGGCAACCAGTTGCAGCTGGCCGTCGTCGCTGCGCCCGTGGAGATCCTGGCCCAGGCCCGCGGCGTCACAGAGGACCCGCTGCTGCCAGCAACGCTGACGGCAGCCATCCAGCGGCAGGCGCAGCCCGCGGCCCCTCCCCAGACTGCTGAGGAGGCTGTCCGAGGGCGGCGGGCGCCTGGAAGGATGCCAGCTACAAGCGCGATCATGCAGCTCAGCAAGTGGCCAGGTGTCGTGAGGCGCTGTGTCGGGCCGCGAACCAATAGGCCGAGACCGTCCGCGTGCTGGCCGAGGCAGAGATCGCTAGACGGATGGCGGCCAAGGCTTTGGCGGCACAGGCGGGCTTCGCAGCAGTCCCCGCCGCCGAGGCAGCCGAGGCCGAAGCGATCAAGGCCAAGCAGACGCAGGACAGCAAAGTTAAGTTGGAGTTCGACTGTGACACTGAGTTGTCCGAGAAGGTTCGTTCAGGCGAGTACGAGTGCGAGGACACAGATAAAGACGAGCTGCTCAAGCTAGAGTCTGACCTGCGGACGATGAGGCAGGACCTCACCAACAAGAGCGACTCCATCACGAGCTGGAGGGACAAGATGAATGACATGCAGCAGACGGCCAAGGCTCGCTACGCCAAGAAGCGCAAAGCAGATGGAGGAGGAGCAGCTGAGTCTTCTCCGCCAACCGCAGCGGCGCCCGGGGCAGAGACGAGTCCAACGCATACGGCTGCGTCGGGAAGCGCCGAGGTGAACGCGGGAGGCCCCGCGACCACCACGCGCGAGCACGACGCGGCGATCGGGGCGGAGGTGAAGCGCATCAGGAAGGCCAAGGAGGCGGCAGCGGCGGCAGCAGCGCAGGCGGCGCAGGCGGCGGCGAGCGTCACGAAGGGCCAGGGCGCTGCGGGGGCGCCTCCAGCTTCGGCAACAGCGTGACCTTCAACGGGGCCGAGTTCGGCCCAACGAGGTCCATGGGGGCGCCTTCTCCCTGCGCCACCTCTTCTACGTTGGAAGGTATGTGTACCAGTTCTCCGTCGAGTACGCCGTCGGCAGTGCCAGGGTGCCCTTCAGCGTCTACAGATGCAGCTTCAGTGGGAGCAGACAGGGTGCATAGCCCCAGTGCCTCAGCAGGGGAGGCGCCTGGATCGCAGCCTGCAACTTCCCGCGCGAGGCGATCGCGCGTTGAGTCGGATGGGGACAAAGCGTCAGCGGTCACGCAGATAATTTTCAGAAACGTCACCCTCCTGGGGAGCAAGGCCTGGGATTACATCTGTCATTTGCTCTCGGTCAATTTGTTTCAGCAGTCCGCCATTTGCGAGAGTCACATAGGCGAAAGCTCAGTGGCGGAGTGGAAGAAAAAAACACGTCTCGCCAAGTTTCGATGTCACTTGGAAACAGCCAGAACCACTGGCCGCCGATGCCCCGCTTCCTCGGGGCAAATGCGGGCCACAGAAGGAGGGGGCTCTTTTTATCTGAGGGTCACCGCCAGAGTCATGCCCTGTCTGTACACAGTAGTGATTTGCCCCGGTTATACTCGAAGGGGTTGGGTATGCTAGATGGGTTTCTGCCAGCTGGTGTGAGCTATAGCATAATAGTTGTCACTGTTTACGGGCATCGTTCCCAAGGATACGGGGGCCAGAACCTCGAGCGTCCGAGCAAAGGTGGGACCATTTTGCAGGGCCCTCATCTTCCCTGGGTGGTGCTCGGCGATTTCAACTTTTCTTCTCAGGTGATTTCATCGTGCGGTTTCCTCGGGAAAATTGGGGCCACAGTGCTCGAAGCTCCCGTCGAGCACACTTGCGTGAGTAAAAGTGGAGCGTCTCGCATCGATAATGTCCTAGCATCGCCATCAGCCATTCCGTACATACTAGGAGTGCAAGCGTTCCAGGACGCTCCGTGGAAGCCCCACTGTGCACTCGCGCTTCAGCTTCGGGGCTCAGGAGAGCAATTGATCACCCGATCGCTCTTGCTCCCCGAGAGATTGCCGCAAGTAGCTAGGCCCCAGGCTCGGTCTCATAATGGGTCTAGGTCATCTCAGGCTCGTTCCAAACAGGTGGCCCAGCAGGCGGCTGCGCGGGAAAAACATATTGCTGTAGTCTCTGAGCTGCTCGGGGGCATGCTCGATTCGGTTTCTGGGGGTAAAGAAGCCAACCCCGCCTCCCAGCCCCCTCTCGGCACGGATCCGTCTAGCGTCCCCTCGAGGCCAGATGATCCCGAGATGTGGTCAGGCTGTCGTTTTGATTTGTACGGAAGTGAAGTTGACCCATGGGCTGCTGGCGAGACCAACTTTGCCGGGCCCAAGGTCACCCACCTGTTCCTCCTCCGTCCTCCTCCTTTTCCTCCGTGACTGGGGGCGCTCAGGTGAATCTGCCAGCCCCTGCGAATCCTGATTCTGCCGTGGCAGTCGATGACGGTGAGACCCCCTCAAGCGACAGCGAAACCCATTTCAACGAGGACACCCAAATCCCGTTCCACTCCACTGCTGATGCTGCTGCCCCTGCTTTCGAGCCCACGTCCGATCTGCTGCCTTTGGCTCGAACTCAGGTAGGTTTTCGGCCCCAAACCTTGGGGCAGGTGCGGGGGCCAGCCCGCGCGTCCCTGGCTTTCAAAGTTGGCGGGCCGCACGTCTTACATGTCAGCAGTGCGTATGCGGCGTGGACCAGCAGTGTGGAGCAGATCTAGCAAACTCATCACGTTTTGGACCCATCCAGCAAGCCTTCGCGGGCAGAGGGCCCCAAGTTGGTTGCTCATCGTGCGCGTCAGAGTGAGCATTACCGAGGTATGGCGCTGCAAGATGTCGCGGCAAACTGGCGGGAACGTGCCCGGGTGATACCGCGCAAGTTGGCTCGCCACAAGCGGCGAGGGAATGGTCTTAGCCAGTCTGAGGCATTGACCGCTGCCAGTGGCAAGTTGGCAGGGCAGCCCCCCAGGATGTGCTCGCAAGTCGGTTGGCAAGGGACCTGGCGCCACCACGTGGGCGCCCTGGCTCACGCGCTCAGAGAGCCTCGATATGTTCCTTTCCAGCAGCTGGATGCGCACGCTCAGGAGGCTTTGAAGGTAGCGAGGCGGCCCGCGGACATGCTGTTTCTGTTGCCGAATTCACAGACTGGGTTGGTGAAAACGAACGCACAGGCGCAATCTTCCGAGCCGCAAAGGAAATGCCAGTAGCACAGCAGGAGTGCTCAGCATTGTCAGGAATCATTGTTCATCCCAAAGATGTGGTGGATCATAAAACAGAGCATTGGCACTCGTTGTGGGCGTCGCGTGACAACCAGACAGTGTCAAAAGTCCGTGAGATCTTTGATCGCATTCGTTGGCACTCAGCTTCAGAGCTTCTGATGCCTCTCACCACCGACGACGTTCGAGCGGCAGTCAAGCAAATGAAACCTCGGGCAGGGCAAGGAGTTGATCGGCTATCGCCGATCGACCTCGAGAGACTGCCTGATCAAGCGATGGCTGGGCTTGCAGTTATCTACACCATGTGCGAACAATGTCAACCACGGCCGCGGCAACTCATGCCAGTGCCGGGGCGACTTTTGCCCGAGAAGAGCGCTGGCAATCGAGCGATCGGTCCCATCTGCACGATTTGCAGAGTATGGTCCCGATCGAAGGAACCTCTCATCCGGGAGCGGACTGCCGCGGGCCAGCCAGATTGGGGGGGCAGCGATCACGGGCAAATCGGCCCTGCGCGAAGCATGCGTGAGAGCTCTGGACGAATAGCTTTTCACCAAGTTGAAGGCAGCGCATGGCCACGGTCTGTTAGATGTACAATCCTTTTATGACGAAGTGGAATGATCAGTGCTAGTCGAAGGCGCGATCAAATACGGTGTTCCCCCAGTCATGCTTGGGCTTGAGCTGCAGACGCGTGCAGGGCCAAGGCTTCTGGGCCAAGGAGATGCAGTCTCTTGCCCGTTTCAGGGCACGCGCAGGATTATTCAGGGATTACGGAGGGGAACAAGATTTGCCAAAGTGGCTACCAACATGATCATGGCTCGCCTTACCATCTGCCACCCACAGCTTTCTGAGAGGTTATGGATAGATGACCTCTCCCAGACGGCAGTGGGATCACGGACGTCAGTATGCGAGTCGGTCGTGGAAGGTATCACGACGACGAATGGTTTGCTTCCTGGATTCCCCCTCCAACTGGCAAAGAGAAGTACCGTCACTTGTTCAGATATGCGCGAGGCAAAACTTATCCAGAAGAGGTTGCTGAGGAGAGGCATCCATGTTGCGGCAGTTCCCCAGACCTCCTTCCTCGGGGTCGACCTGGCGAGCGGAACGAGACATGGACGAGCGACCCGAGGGAAACGAGTTGCCAATACCCTCAAGCAGCATCACAAAGTTAGGCGATATGCTTTCACGTCCAAGCGATTCAAAGTGCTGCAAAAGGTGGAATTGGCGGGCCCGCAGGCAGGAGCGAGGCCTGGACACCGTGTTCATGGCTTGCCTGTCTCTTCGCTCACACCTGCAACGGCGTTTGGGCGCAGTGGCAGGAGGCCATCGGCGAGGACGATGTCTGACCACGTTGTTGGACATCAGAGCTCCTGCAGCAGACCCAGGGTACGCCCTGCCGCGCCAATGCCTTGCTGAATGGCTCCGGGTATGGCTCGAAATCCCTCCTTTTCGGGTTCCTATCGCGCGTGTTTGGGCTACTACAGTTGCGGAATTTCTGCAGCACCAACCTCAGAATCGTGCCCGACAGATTCGAGGACCGCTCGCAGCTGTCATCCACTACCTCCTCGACGCGGGATGAGAGATACCCGAACCAGCACCTCGGTACCAAGAGGCAGATCACGATGGACACCAGACAGGTTGGAGATTCGACGGTCCAGATTGTCAGGCAAGCGACCAGGCAGCAGAGTTGCTCGATGCTTTCGCACGGTCTGTTCAGCTAAAACAGTGGAAGCAAGCAGCAGCATCTACCTTCTGTGGAGGAGGAATGGAAGCAGGAGTGGATAATTTTAGCCTGGGGAAGCAAGTATACTGACTGGAGTAGATTCTCAAGTACGGACGCAGGTTGGCTCACCTACTGTTATCTATATAAGTCGGTGGGGCATGGACATCGTCTCGCAAGAACGAAGCAAAATATTCAGTTCCATCTCAATGTGCCAGATCATCGTTTCCGGACCTGCAGATGCAATCATGGAGTAGATGGAGTAGCAACATTTGATCTGTCGCAAGACCTGTGCCACAAAGCGATGGCCCAAGGTGACAGTATGTAATGTTACTGGTATCGGGGGTTGGCCCCCTCTCATCTCACGGCAGTTGACCCTCCTCTTAGCGAGGAGAGCTGGACAATCAGTCACGACGACGACCCCGACCAGCATTTCTGAGGCGATGGCACAGGGTCCACGCCAATCATAATCCATGGTGATGATTCAGGCGGCTGGGACACACATGATCCTCGACTTCGTCGGATTGGGTTAGCAGTGTCAGCCGTTGGAGAAGAACCAGGACCAGAATCACGGTTTGTGTTTTGGCCCGTTCCCAGGATTTCGGCAGACCGTTCCTCGGGGCGAACTGCTAGCTCTCCTCCTGGGAGTTCGTTGGCCATAAGGTTGCATTGATTTCATGACGGACAGTGAGGAGGTCTGCAGAGGATGGTGGGCGAGGTTGTTCCTTGCCCCACAAGGGGCCAACTCAGACCTGTGGAAGGAGATCGGCACCACCCTCCAGAAGCAGAGCAGGCATCATTCCCAGATTGGTGTACTCAAGGTGCCGCCCCACGTCACAGGAGAAAAGGTGGTCAGTCGAGGACTGCCAGGCTGCCTTATTGCAGGAACTGTTTTCGCGGATCATCTCGCAGGGAAGGCAGCGAAAAGGGCTCGTCTTCCCAAGGATCAAATGTGCTCGGGTGTGTCAAGTCGAGCATGAGGTCATGCTCATCCGACAGAGATTGTTGAGAGCTACGCTTGAGGCCGCCGCCCACGATGAGAAAAAGAAGACCCCTCGTGCTGCTCGTGCTCACACAAGGGTGCCTCCTCCTACTCCTGCCACGGTGGCCCTTTTTTGTTCTGCTCACCGTCTCTCGGATTGCGGGAAAAAGTGCCTGGTTTGCCGAGGGTCCACGAATGTGGCAGCGAAAAAAGAGTTTTTGGAGTCACCCTGTTTTCCTTTGGAGTCTCGGTCTTCGTGGATGTTAAGGGTGCCTCGGGGGGAAAGCTGACATCTCGCTGGGGGGTGGGTCCACCAGTCTCACAAGATTGTATCACGATGTGTTGTCCTTATGGTATTGTGCGGCGTGCGGGGCCTACCACCAGCAGCAGCTCCGAAGTCTGGCTGATGAGTGCAAGGCCTCACCCAAAGCCCCAATCACCAATAATCGGCGAGACTATCTCGACCGAACTTCCAGAGGGCTCATGCCCAAAGTTCTCGGAAAGGCTGGGAAGGCGGCTAGATCCTCCACATTAATCCTGAACTCGCTTCGCGATCGGTCTTATCTTAACACCTCCTCCTCCTCCTGCTCCTCCTCCTCCTCCTCCTCTTACTGGCTGGTGCAGCCAAGAACGGCGCGGCCACCCTCTAACGGCCCAGGTCTCCCGATAGGCCAACAACGAAATCAACTCATATCTAGAGACTGGTATGTAAAACACAAACACATGTTCTTAGAATACAGCAGCGATGTATAATAGCAAAACTATATATATGTATATGCCAGAAATGCTCTGGCAACAGACCACGTGCCCATCGGTCGGAAGAAGTAGGTGGAAACATGAAGTAGGAAGGCGTTGGCAATAGATCGAGCTTCCGCCCGCACCCTGAAGAGGAGGGAAGAGAGGGAAAGCCGCTCGACCCTTGAAGCAGGAAGGCGCTTAAAGCAGATTGGAACCTGGGGATCTAAAAATACCTACGTTCAACGACCGATGGGTACTCTGAGTTTCTTAATTAGCGTGGGGGGGTACCCCCCGACGGGGGTCAACCTCTCCTCGTCGTCGCGCCGCGATGGGGGTCAGAGCGCCTTCGGCGCGCGGTGGCTGCCCGCGACGGGGGTCGATGTGGGGCAGTCGGCGGGGGTGACGCCCCCCCGACACTTATTGAGAAACTCGGAGTAGTGTTAGGTCGGGCATGTCCTCCTACGGGCGGATTTTGAACGAAACTCAGAACATGTGAAACGTGCTATAAAAAAACAGAAATCATCAAAAACTCGTCCCCAGACTATTTTTTTACTATTTTTGAATATTCCTTCTGTATTTTGAGGGAGAGGCCCGACTTAAGAGCAGTGTTCTTAGACCACCTTGTCAATCCATAAAAAAACCCTCCTCAACATCCAGGCGAAGAACCCACCTCGGCGCAGGCGGCCTCATCTCCGAACAAAAAAACGCAACGGTGGATCCAGGGGTGCCTGCATACCCATGCCCTCGTCCTGCTTATGCGTCTCCTCCTCCCCCTTCTCCTCCTCCTCCTCCTCCTCCTCCTCCTCCTCCTCCTCCTGCTCCTCCCCCTCCTCCTCCTGCTGAACCTCCTCCTCCTCCTCCTCCTCCTCCTCCTCCTGCTGCTCCTCTTCCTGGTCCTCCTCCTCCTCATCCTCCATCTCCCGCTCCTCCTCCTCCTCCTCCTCCTGCCCTCCTTCTCCTCCTCCTCCTCCTCCTCCTCCTCCTCCTCCTCCTCCTCTTCCTCCTCCTCCCCCTGCTCCCCCTCCTCCTCGTCCTCCTCCTCGTCCTTCTCCTCCTCCTGTCATGAGCCCTGCTTCAGAACTTCTGGACGTCAGGCGCGTCTCCCTGCCTGGGTAGCGGCGCTCATGCAGCGCAGGCACGCCAGCACCGAATCTGCGGAGTCGCTGTGAAGGACCATCGCGTTGATCACCTGGCGTACGGGTTCGGCAACGCTGGTGAGAAGCGCCGGAGAGGAGACTGGACACACATAAAAAACAGGTATGGCCACGGCGAGAAGTCGGCGGGGGGGGAGGAGACAGAGGAGGCACAGAAGGATGGGGGAGGGGCATGGGGAGGTGGAGGGAAGGAATGCTCCCCTCCACTTCCTCCTCCCTCCTCCCTCCTCATCGTCCTCCTCCCTCCCTCCCTCGCCAGGAAAGTAAGGGAGCAGGAGGAGGCCGCCAACTGACGTTGACGAAGGCGAGAGCGAGGACGACGCTGACGGCGCCCTCAGGGGGCCTCTGAAGGTATCCACGGGTCCCCCGAGGCCTCTGAAGGGTAGCCACAAAATCCAAACACATCCCAAAGCTTCGATCCTGATCCCTCCTCCTCCTCCTCCTCCTCCACCTCCTCCTTCGACGACGACGACGACGACGACGACAACGATAACGACAACGGCAGCGACAGCGACAGCGACGACGACGACAACGACAACGACGACGACGACGACGACGACGACGACGACGACGACGGCAACGACGACGATGACGACGACGGCAACAACGGCAACGACAACGACGACGACGACGACGACGACAACAACGACGACGACGGCAACGACGACGACGACGACGGCAACAACGGCAACGACGACGTCGACGGCAGCAGCGGTGGCGGCGAGCGGACCCGCGTGCGGGGGGAGCCGGAGCCTCGCGGGCGCCTCCGATGCGCACGAAGGCCTGCTGCAGGCTCTCGCGGGTGAGCTCGCCCTTCGGCGGCCTGGCAAGGATCGCTGGATCCATCGATTCCATGCTATGCTGGATACCATGCTGGACAAGCGAGTCCCACTACTGGCAGAGGATCGATTCCATGCTCGATTCCATGATGGACAAGCGCTTCCCACTACTGGCAATGTAATGGGCGAAAAACGAGAATTAAGAAAAAAAAAAATAAAAATAAAAAAAACTTAATACTAAATATAAAATAAGATTAAATCATTAAAAACAAAAAAAACAAATAAAAACGAAGATAGAATAAAAATCACAAGAAAAACCACCGGCTAACAAACAAACCACCACACACAAGTCCCTTAACGGAAAAGACTAACGTCAACATTCCACCACAATAAATACCCACACACCCATCAAATGCCAATCACCCACCTACCCTTCAACCTAACCCATAAAGCTACTCGCAAATGGCCTGGATCCGCCGCGGGGGATCTGCGACCCATCACATCGAAACGGGCACGTGCTGTCTGGACACATTGGCGGGTAGGCCACCTGCGAGCGGTGGAACGCGCTCGGCTCCATGAGCAGAGGAAGGGAAAAACTCTAGAAACACTAACTTCCAAACCCCACGCCACGCGGACTTCTTGGATCGGCGCTGGAACCGGAGCGCGCAAAAAGCGGCGCTGGAGACGCCGCCACGGGGGGGCAAACGCAGATCCAAGAACTCCGCGCGGAGCTCCGAGAAATTATGTTTATGTAGATCTTCCCTGGGAGGCCTCCCAGATGGGGTCCGAGTAGATGGGGTCCAAGGATCGCGCGACATCGCCAATGCATCGCCGATGTATCGGCGATGCATCGGCGATGCATCAGCGACTTCGGCGATGCATCGGCGGCACCGGCGTGGGGAAACAAGGGCTCCACATCGACCCGCATCGTCGATGCATCGGCGATGCTGCGCGATCCTCCGACCCCATCTACACGGACCCCATCCAGGAGGCCTAGATTTCTTCGAATGATCGATCGATCGACCGCTTGATCGATGGGTCGCTCGCTCGCTCGGTCGGTCGACGACGAGCCACCGATCGATAGGAGAAAAACAAAAAAAAAAAAAAGCCATAAACATACACTTTTGGCGATCCGCGCGGACTTCTTGGATCTGCGCTGGGCCCCCTCTCCCTGGCGCGCGGAGCGCGCCAGGGGCACCGCCGGGGGGGGCCCAGGCGCGGATCCAAGAACTCCGCGCGGAGCGCCAAAAGTGTATGCTCATGGCGCTTCTTCGTCGATGATTGATCGATGGGTCCCTCGCTCGCTCGCCTGGTCGACGACGATAGAACAAGGAAAAAAAAGGCATGGACATCAACTTTTGGCGTCAAATCTTCTTCGAGATCGGCCGGTCGACGACGAGCCGCCGATCGAGCCCACACTCGCTCAGTCGACGGCGGCGCCGACGGCCGGCCCCCGCAGCGCGCGCGCGGGGGGGCCGCGGCGGGGCGGAGCAGGCCGTGGGCGAGGGGCGGGCTTCGCCGGGCGTTCCGCGGCAAGGCACGCGCCGCGCGCAGGGCGACTGCTGGGGGGCCCTTTGGCCAACACGACTGGACGCAGCTAGAGGCGTCCATCCTTCCTCCTTCCTCCTCCCCCAGCTTATTTCTCCTCCTCCTCCTCCTCTCCTCCTCCTCCTCCTCCTCCGCCATCACACCCTCCTCCTCCTCCTCCTCCTCCTTCTCCCTCCTTCTCCTCCTCCTCCTCCCTCTCTCCCCTCCTCGTCCCTCTCCTCCTCCTCCTCCCTTCTCTCTCCTCCTCCTCCTCCTCCTCCTCCTCCTCCTCCTCCTCGACCTCCCTCCTCCGCCTCCGTCCTCATCCTCCTTTTCTTCTTTCCTCTTCCTCCTCCCCTCCTCCTCCTCCTCCTCCTCCTCCGCCTCCGCCCCCTCCTTCTCCTCCTCCTCCTCCTCCTCCTCCTCCTCCCCCTGCTCCTCGGCCTCCTCCTCCTCCTCCTCTTCTTCCTCGTCTTACTCCTGCTCCTCCTGCCAACGACCCTCGTCACTCTGAGGAGGGTCGCAGGCAGTCCACGCAGTTGGGCGTGTGGTGCCTTCGCTGGATGCTTGGTTCTCCTGCTCCTCCAGCGCCCCTCCGTGGGTGGTTGGACGGCTTCTGTGCTAGAAAAGATGGTATACCCAAGACTTCGCAAACAAAAAAACCCATCTGAGCTTTGGTGGTCTGATTCGAGCTTTCTTGGATGGTTTTTGGTCCGCTTCATCACGGCTGGCCTGGGAGGGGTAGAAGACTGCTCGCCCGGTAAGGTTGAGACCCCCTCGCTTTTACTACGGTATGTGGAACGGACATGACTTCTCGGAGGTCAGCGCACATTTCGTGCTAACGACCTTCCTGCGTCACGCGTAAAGCCACCCGCATCCCTCCCACCATCCTCCAGCGCACCAGCGCGGTGCGGTGTACGTCCATCCCTCGCCGAAGGGTGGGTTACGAAGACAAACGCACCACGATCACTCTGAGCGGCGCTTGAACCTACGGCCCGTTCGTGCTGTGACGCCGTGCGTGCTGGTTCTTACACAACGTAATCCGTTCAGCCTTGAACGATGACGGCTTCCGGATAATCAACGCGGATCGCTCGACGCGGGACGAATCTGAGCCACCGTTCGGCGGCAACTCATGGGAGACTCCCATACCATCTTGTGGACTCTTGCGGATCGACGCTACGCAACGCTGCGTCGACGCTACATCGACGCGATCTCCTCTCGATGACCATATGCTACTCGACGCGAGTGTACTCGAATCACACGAAATATGAGGGCGCAGTGCTCCTATGACTTGCTACCCCCTACAGGCGGATGTTGGGTGACAAAAATATCAACAAACAAATAAGCATGATATAACACACCACCCCCTTATCTTTTTTGTTTGGGCTATGTTGGAATATTCCTCCTGTAGATGGACGTGCCCAACTTACGCAAACTGGCGGCGATCAACCTCGACGCCGCTGGAGCCACCGCCACGGCGACACGCCGCAGGCGGTTGTCGTCGTCGTTGGTTCGTCGTCCTCGCGCGCGCCTCTCTCCTCTGTTCTTCTTTCTCGCATCTCTTTCTTTATGTTGCTCGTTCCCTCTCTCGCTCTCTCTCTCTCTCAACCTTGGGCAACCACTGGAGCCCGCCGAGGGGCCGCCGCCACGGCAACGCGGCGCCGCCCTGCCGCGCAGCGTCACCCATGTGGCCCCCTCGGGAAGCCTCGCGGGGAGAGCCCAGCAGGCCTCTGGAGGCCCCGCTGGAGATGGCCGAGGGGGACGGTCCTCCTCCCACCTGAAGATGGTGATGCTGATGATAACGATGGTGAGTGTGATGATGGTAATGGTCTCGATCATGACGATGATGCTGTTTCCGTTTACGTTGGCGATAATGCGGATGCTGCTGGTGATGACGGTACGTTCGATGTTGGTGATGATGGTGATGCTGCTGATGACGATGACGACGATGAAGACGATGCTGATAATGAGGACGATGCTGGTGACGTTGATGATGATGATGATGATGATGATGATGATGATGATGATGATGATGATGATGAGGAGGAGGGGGATGATAGCGCAGCCCCTTCATGCGCCAAAGTCTCCCCAACAACACCTCATTTCTGAAACAGGGCTTAAATATGGGGTTTCCGCTTAGAACTAACCCTTGCCCGAGCTTTGTCAAAAGGTGAGCACGCATTCAAGGCCAAATCGTTTCAAGGTCCTGCGAGATTTGAAAGTGCTGCACATCAAATCGTGCACGCACATAGTAGAGTACATAGCTTGAGACGAGGAAGCGAAACCATGGAAGAACACCAAACGGTCATGGGCCGTCCACGAGGGGTCGTCCCGGGGCAGATGCGGAAGGACCTGACTGAGAGGCTCAGGGGCACAGAAGCATTCGAAATAGTGAAGGATGTGGTCTCCTCCACAAACCTGGCACCCAAACAAGCAAATCTGGGGCCGCTGACGGTATGTGGAACTCGTGGCGCAGGAACTGCAAGCGATTGTCAAAGAAGCAACCCCTACGAATGGGGCGAGCTTGGAAACCGCTAACCTTAGCCTCGAAACAACGAGATCGGCCTTGGGAAGCAGAGCGGCTGGACAAAAATGCCGAATACGAGGGAAGAGGGCAGGCGCAGGACTGCACGGGGCCTCGCGGAGCCTCAGGGTCGTGTTCACTGTTCCTGGAGCATGGCCGTGCTTGGGTCAATATCATCATGGGGATAGCCGTCAACTTCTTGTAGTTGTCAATGATGGAGTAGCAGATGCTAGACTCGTACCAGTCACTGTGTCACACTACGGCAAGCCGATCACATTCCCCTTCCTCAAGCCAGGAACATCTACCTCGCACATCAGACAACCCGGACGATTCAAGGGCATCCCGGTACATGCTCGCTCTGGGTTATCGTCGAAGGCCCCTGGGATTCGCCGGGAAGCGCAGCTGCGAGGGTTGCCGAATGATGTCAACGGGGAAGGAGTGACGGGGCGCCGAAGCTAGAAGCTGGTGGGCCTCTCTTCCCTTTTTCGATATCTCCTTGGGAGCATGATACAACTGACTACCTACCAGACCACACCAACCCAACCCGAAGACCCGAATTTCGGGTTGGGGGAATATGGGCTCATATGTGTTTTTTCGATGGTCCCGGACCCCCCCCCACACTGGAAATGGAGGGCAAATTGAAGCCTTCGGGTTGGGTTGGGGTGGTTTGGTGGGCGGTGAACAACGGGCCAACAAAGCTGGAAACGGAGAAGGCCAGCGAATTGTAGGCGATGGTGTCCGGACAGAGCCCTAGAACAAATCTTTTGGTGTGAAAGGCTCTCTTGATGACTTTGACGCAAGGAGCTTCCCAAGACAGCATGGGCCCAGTCGGGCCAATGAACGGCCCAAGGTGCTTGCCGCAGGTGCAAATACGGAGCTGCCGAAACCGATTCCACAGCCGCGGAACATCGCCCAGACGTCGTGCTAGGATTATGGCACAGCAGTGACCATGCTGAATTTGCCTGGATTCAATTCCAAGCCAACGAGGCGAGC